GACCAGTGGGAAGAAGCTTTAAATGGGGCACAGCGATATTAATACAAATCACAGATTCAGAACAGCTAAAAAGACTGGGAATCTCCTTGTCATTCACGCCTTTTATTCTCATAAAAGGGGGGAAACACCATACAAATCGGTCTGCCGTTCAAAAGCAATACAAACGCCCTCTCTTTTGGGAGAGCCGCCCCTCTGTCGGTGGGCTCAGGCCTCGCTCGCCAGCTGCTGCTCCACCGCTCGGGGCAAGAACCCTTGCAAGAAGTGGAAGAACTCTTGGAAGGCAGCCGCCTGCTCAGGAGCTGGCTCAAAGCACAAGCTGAGGCGCGTGTCTCGCTCGCCAGAAGCACTGGCCCCTGCTTGGGCGTGAACGGTGAACTGGAACAAAGGGTCCGTGGGCCTCGCCTCCCCCGCCTGCTGGGAAATGGCCTCTGATACTTTCGCCTCCATCTCCAGAGAGCCAGCTGCATGCTGCGGGTCGGGCTGTGGCCCCCGGAGCTGTCGCCTGACCCGGCGGCGTCCCAGCCACACCTTGTGCCAGACGGCACAGTTCCAAGTCATGCTTTGGCCCTCTGGGAGCAAAGTATCTGTTCGTGGCCTCTTAGGAGAAGGGGAGGACGAACCTGCTGCTTCCTCTTCATCCAGGGAGCGCTTGCGCCCTGCCATCGGCTGCTCAGCTCTCACTTCTGTCTGCTGTTCTCCCTGTTTACACTCAGTCACTGCTGGTTGTTGTTCCTGCTCTAACCCCTCTTGCACCTCCAAGCAGCTACATTTGAGCACATCCCGCAAGACAAAGGTGATGCTGGCACAGACTTTCCGGAACCACTGCTGATGGAAATCCCCAGCTTGGCACAGCAGCTTGCGGCTTTCGGCAGGCAGCGCTGCCAGGGTCAGGGGGAAATTGATGACAAACCCAGTGGCAGCCAGAACCTCGGCCTCGGCAGTGCCCAGTTGGAAGAGGCGCACCAAGCCCCAGATCTTGCCTTTGCTGGATTTGCGCTGGTACTGCAAGCTGCGGCAATACTTGGCGGCCACCTGGCAGCAGCGCTGGAACCGCTGCGCCGTCTTCTCATTGACGTTGGCGGCCACGTTGTGGCTCAGCTCAAAGGGGTCCTGGAGGTTGAAGGGCCCCAGCTTGAGTTTGCTGCCCACTTCCGACTTCAGGACGCTGGGCATGGGCAGCAGCTGGCCTTCCTGGAGCGAGATGACGTGGCCTGCAAAGTCGTAGTCCCCAAAGACATGGAAGAACTCGGCCAGCAGGGTGCCTGGAAAGAAAGGCAGGTGGGAGGGACAGCCAATGAGTCAAAGAGGATCATGGGGATGTAATGAAGACTGAGCGAGGGAAAATATTTACATGGCCACCTTTCTCCTGAGCATCTCAGGACTTGCCTCCGGAGAAAGCTGGGCATATATACATTTTGTGTATTTAAAGCTTTAATACATGCTCGCATTTCTCCTGACGCAGGCCCTGAGATGCTTGGGAGAAAAGAAGGCATATGTTTTTTAATAGATTATTTGTATGTTTCTGGAAGATGCACACTGACCAGCCATTTCAGTGGTTCCATCACACCCTGAGAATCCTGTTCTTTCAAACCCGAGTCCCACAAGAGCTTGTATGTGAGAGAAATGTAAGCAAGATCTAGCTGGCGTCCCACTTTAAGAATTTCTGGATGGTTTTATGTAATTCATTTATTTAGCTTCATGCTGTGCTTGTAGATGGGTAGGACTTGGAACAGGAGGCACAAGCTTCATAGATGCCTCCAAGCATCATCCCGCATACTCATTCAACCTCGGGCTAGAAAAAATTGCTTTAAAAAAAAATGAAAACAAGTCTTTAGGACGTTGACGTTTGCACTGAATGTTAACTTGGAATGTGCTTGGAATTATTCCGGACGGACGGAAGGAAATACTGCTTTACA